ATTACAGACCAATCGCCAAGGGAGTTCGGGATACACTCAAGATATACATAAGAAGTCAGATAAGTGAATTTCTAAGATTCTCAAAGCTATAACAAAAACAATCGTAATATCATTCGAAAACTGTTATGGTTGTGATGGTGCCCTTGATTCGTTCTTTTAAAAAGCTCTGCGATTAATTGTAGCGGCGATCAAAGGAGCACGTCAAAATGTTGTTTATTACCTTTTTTAATCCGTTGATTCGATAGATTCGTTCATTTCGTTTTTTAATATGTTTTTCAGCTGTCCTTTAAGAATGCTGGGGGGCGAGCCGATTTCCGAACGAGCCCCGAATCTCGCCAGCATTCCTAAGGGTCAGCGGTAAACCTTATTACAAAACAAAATGGCTGTTATTCTATAGCGAACAAATCGATAGTGTTAAAGGATTAAGAAAGGTAATAAACAGCGTTTTGCCGTGCTCCATTACGGCGATCAAGGATTGTTCGCTACTTATCGCCGTGACAGTTTTGAGCTTCTTTGAAAGACGATTTTTCAAAGGACAAATATAATACGATTACTAATAATTTATTTTAACAGATGAAAGTCTGCCACAGTTTTGTATGTTGCCTCAGAAACCATCTCATCCAACTATCAACCGTACCAGCGAAGTGTCAGAGATAATGTCCAGGATACAGCAACTTAAAGCGATGTTTCCATATGAAATCACCGTTACGTATTTGTCTGGTAATCCTGGTTGTGGCAAAAGCGAGCTTGCCAGACAGATTGGAAAAAACCATTTTGAAGACGTTCACGAATCAGCCAAGTGCGTGTCGACATTGAACGCATCTAATCTTGATAGCTTAACTCTATCATATATCGACCTGGCAAGAAACCTTCGATGCAGCGAAGAATCTATAGCATCACTCAATACCATCACCTCTCAAGAACAGAAACTCGCTCAACTACGAGGAAATGTCTCCATACAACTGCACAGCTACTCCTCCTGGCTGATGATTGTAGACAATGTGGAAGATCTTCGGCTAGTCTCAAGGTTTCTCCCTCATGCAGGCGAAAACCTGCAACACGGTAAAGGCCATATCCTAATAACAACACAAGACGGCCATTCTATACCACAGAGTGATCCACACACACATCATATGCCCTTAAGCCTTGGTATGGAACTCGAGGACGCAGTGGAATCATTGCGTGAAATTTCTGGATGTTCTGACCAAGAAGAAACTATGAATGCTGTTGCTAAGCAGCTTGATTTCCAGCCTTTAGCTCTCGCATGTGCAGCAGTATACGTTCAGGAAGTCCGCATTGCAGATCCTACAATGACATGGGAAAAATACCTTCACCACATCCAAAAAAACAATATTGAATCAACTGAAAGAATGTATGAAGAAATCAACAACTCGTATAAAAAGTCGATGACAACAGCTGTAAAGATGGCAGTCCAAAATATCATAGAGAAAAGTCCAGTAATGCTCCATGCTTTTGAATTTCTGGCTGCACTGGCTCCAGAGTTTGTATCACTACATCATGTTGTAAATTATGTCATGACGTGCTTGCCTGAAGAAAACGGAAAATACATAGCAGCAACGATAATGAAGTCGTCATTTGTTCTTACGTCTGAGGATAAAGTTGAACCAATTGTTCGCGTCCATCAAGTTGTTTTCAACGTTCTTCAATCAGTCGTCCAAGAATTACACATCGACGAAGAAGATGAATGGTCGTACTTAACAAAAGTGATCGAAGTGTTTTCATATCTCAATGAAATGGATAATAGTAGCATTGATTTTATAAGGTCTACAGGAAATCTCGTTGTGCATGTGGCAAATTTGTCATACAAGATAAAGAGTTTTTTTGAAAAACACGAAATTTTGATTTCGACAGAACAAGACAAATATGGAATTCGTTACTACTTAAATAGAAACACCACGAGTCAATATTCTCCAGAAGAAATCTTCCTGTCCAAATCTTTGTATGGAGTATTGCGAGCACATGGAAAACACGACATTTGTAGGATTCTATTGGAAATGGGCATTATTCTAATGACGCAAACTGAAAATAGGAACAAACATATCAAATGGTGTAATTGGGTTAGGCGTAGTTTCCGCCAAAAAAAATCCCTAGAATTAAAAAATCACTCTTCAGTGGCTAAAACATTAAACGAGCTAGGAGTAGCAATGAATAGACTTGGAAACAATAAAGAAGCAAAGGAGTGTCACGAAAAAGCACTTGCCATCTACAAAAGCACGTACGGAGACAATCACCATAGTGTGGCTACAAGTTTAACTAATCTAGGATTAGCATTGAGTGATCTAGGAAATTACAAAGAAGCAAAGGAGTATCACGAAAAAGCACTTGCTATCGACAAACTCACGCACGGAGACAATCACCCTGAAGTGGCTGCAGATTTAAGTAATCTAGGATTATCATTGTGTAATCTAGGAAATTACAAAGAAGCAAAGGATTGTCACGAAAAAGCACTTGACATCAACAAAAGCACGTACGGAGAAAATCACCCTCATGTGGCTACAGGTTTTAATAATCTAGGATTAGCATTGAGTAATCTTGGAAGTTACAAACAAGCAAAGGAGTATCACGAAAAAGCACTTGCCATCTACAAAAACACATACGGAGACAATCACCCTTCAGTGGCTACTAGTTTAAATCATCTAGGGTCAGCATTGAGTGATCTAGGAAATTACAACGAAG